GCAGTGACACGATCAGAGCTCACTGCATCCTCGACCTCTCAGGCTCAAGCAATCCTCCCACCTCAGCCTCCTAAGCAGCTGGGACTACCGGCGTGCACCACCACACCCAGCTAATTTTTGTATTTTTCGTAGAGACAGGGTTTTGCCATGTTGGTCGCAAACTCCTGGGCTCAAGTGATCCACCCACCTCAGCCTCCCAAAGTGCTGTGATTACAGGCATGAATCACCTCGCCTGACGTCCATTTTTTACTGCATTCAATTTTTCTTACATTTCTGTCAGGCAGGAACAAGTACATTTTCATTAACAAGTTCCCACAGACTTTCCTCCTCAAGCTACCATTCTCACACTATACATTCCTTCAATCAACCACGCACCCAGCAAACACTTATGGAGAGTCCAGAACACCCTTCGGGCTTGGAATTTGGGATGTGACAATGAAAAGGCCGTTGAAAAGCTTAGATTTCGGCAGGTGAGACAGGTGATTAGGATGGAGCGACACAGATCGGGCAGAGAGGGAGGCTGGTGGGTTTATTTTCACTGTGTACACAACGCAAACACATGCTGTAGGTGAAAATAACATAAGTATGCTTTACGTGAAAATAACAAATGCCATACAGCAGTGTTCTTGTCAAAGTACCCCTGCAACGATGGGGGCCAGAAGTCCTTGGAAAGAACATTCCAGGTCAGTGGAGGCAGAGGGAAAGAAATTCGGTGACAGTATGATGCAGGCGTGCTGTGGGGAACCCCCAGAGTTCTGGGACAGCGTGAAAAACAGCAGACCAAAGTGACTTCCATTGCTTAATGTTTGAATTATCACCATAAAGACCCAAAATTATACAGAAAAAAATGGGAAAGACAAACACCTAATTCAGGAGAGGGGTTATCTCTGGGGAGCGGGAAGAGATGAAAGGAGAAAGGGGACACAGTAGGAGTGCAGGATCAGGCTTCAAAGCTTTTGGTAATTGGTGGCATGTACATGAGAGTTCTTTAAGCTGATTTGGGTATAATATTTCACAATATGTTGTCAAATTGAGAGAGCAAGCCAGTGAGTAGAACTCCAGAGTTCCGTTCCCACCTCAACCCCAGCTGCCAAAGCTCCAAAGCAGGAGGGAGGTTGGGGGAGAGGAGGTAAGAAGGTCTGTGACCCAAGCTCCTGGGGAGATTGAAAACAGCTCAGACAGATGCTGGACTCCTGGCAGATCAGCGCTTTGGCCTTGCCCCTCACTCGCCCTCTCCACCGTCACTGTACACATTGCTTCGTTGTCCCATTTTTGTTTGTTGTTGAATCATCAAAAAATCTTAGCCATTGCCAGCTGTGCGTGGTGGCTCATGCCTGTAATCCCAGCGCTTTGGGAGGCTGAGGCGGGCAGATCACCTGAGGCCAGGAGTTCAAGACCAGCCTGGCCAACACAGTGAAACCCTGTGTCTGCTAAAAATTAAAAAAAAAAAAATTAGCCAGGCATGGTGAAGCACCCCTATAGTCCCAGCTACCCTACTCGAGAGGCTGAGGCAGGAGAATTGCTTGAACTGGGCAGATGGAGGTGCAGGGAGCTGAGATCATGCCTCTGCACTCCAGCCTGGGCCACAGCGTGAGACTTTGTCAAAAAAAAAAAAAAAAAAAAAAAATCTTATCCATTGCTAAGAGACTCGTGGGCTAACATGCATCTTGCTGTTGTTTTTAAAACAAATATCTGCAGGAGGGACATTAGACAATGTAAATGAGCTGAGAAATTACTTCTGCTGGCCCAAACACCCCCAGGTCAGATTTAGGCATGGAGGAGGGGCTGAGGAAGGAAGGTCAGACATTTGGAGTCTGGAGCGATGTGTGGAGGTGACCTGCAGCCCAACTGGGTTCCGCTGTGCGGTACTTTGAGAAGGGGAGGGAGCTGACAGAAAGAGGAGGCAGAGCAGACACTGGATAAGAGGAAGGGGAAAGGTGCCTGGTTCCTTGTTCCAAGGCTCGCCCCAAGCCCCTTCACTGTGGGCTGGGAAGGCAGGTGTGGGCCAGCCCGGACTCCAACCACCACTGAGGGATTGTGCCTTCCAGGAGGCATAGGCAGCTCGTCTTTCGGAGGAAGAAAATTAGTGCCTGGGTTGGGGACGACCTCTGTTCCATTTTAAAATATTTTCCTTGGCTCCCAGGAAGGATTTGTTAGACTCTTCCTGAGGTTTTGACAAACTCTCTGTATTTTTCAAATACTTAAATATCTATTCGGCTGACATCTTAATCAGTACGCCTGTCAGAACATCACTTGAATTTCCGACAGGCGACACCCAAAAAAGCAAAAGCAGGTTTATTTGTAGGTAACCAGCTCTGCTCCTGCTGGGCTACATTGTAATTTCTCCCCATATTAACTTCTGATCGAATTCCTGAGTCAGATGCCTAGGCAAGAGGGAAACTCACAGCGTACATGTTTCTAGTTCTGAGATGAGGAGCCTGTGCCTCGCGGGGAGTGATGTACTGACGCTCGCGGCTGGAGGGTTGGCGAGGGGACACGCAGGACTTGTTTTTGGCTGAAGGAATTTTATCGAAACATTCAGCCTAGGTCACACACAGCTCCGCCTGCTGCAGGGTCTCTCTTGTCCTTCTCTGTTGCTTCTCCTGCCCATGGCATGAAGAGTGCGTGGGTTAAGGGCACTTACCACTCCAGGTGCCTAAGCTGCCAGAATTCTCTGTGCAAATGGCCCCAAGTCCATCCCCAGGGTCTGTGCACTTCCTCCCCGGCCCACCCTCCTGAGGACCTTTAGGCCAGAGAGGTATATATGTCTGTGCAGGGCAGGGCTGCAATGCAGGTAGGCAGGAGGGTGACCACCCAGGGTGTTGAGGGCCCCATGGAGTGGGATGGAGCTGAGGAGGGGGGCAGAAAAGGGGGACAGGTTGTGGCTTGGGCTAGAAGTGGTTCCCCCGTACCAGTGCATTCTACCCAAGACGCCTTAGAATTTCTCAGTTTACACCTGACCTTTCAGGTTGTGAGGAAGATATGTCGAGACAAGAGGATAGAAACTAGAGAACACACGCTGATGTTCCCACAAAAGCCGTCTGTCACCCTGTCTCACCCATCACTTCACTACTGAGACCAACCCGACAGCCATATGGGCAGAGGAGACACCAGTGGAGTCCCCAGCGTGGGTGGACACGTTTCTATGATGGAGTCTCATTGGGAAAAAGCAAAACTGGCCAGGAGCGCTGGCTCATACCTGTAATCTCAGCACTTTGGGAGGCTGAGGAGTGTGGGTATCTTTGACTGTTCTTATAGCTTGACTGATGACTTTTATATATCTAGACATAGGAAATGTGACCCTCATTCTCTTGTTCCAAGCCCCACACGTGTTAGGGGCAGACCCTCGCTCAGCACCTGGAGTGACAGGATTGGACAGAAGGGAAGCAGAAATGACAGGGCTGGAGTGCATTTCTGGTGCGGTCCTTGCATTTCTTTGCCTCTCAAGCTGTGGTGGCTGAATCGTCAGCCCTCCCAGGCAGAAAGTGTTCCCAAAGCCCTGCTAGCTTTCTATTCTATTCAGGCTTTAACCATTCCCCAAAGTGGTGGGCCCCACAGGGTATTCAGAGAGCAGAGCTGGTCAGGTGTGGTGGTTGCAGAACCGACTAGAAATGGTGGGCTCCTTGGGTCTGGCCGAGTCAAGTCCTGGAAACTCAAGGCCAGTCCAGATGGTTTTCCCCATTGGGTGTGGAGTCCTCAATCATGCTTATCTTTCTCTCCTCCCTCCTACCCACAACAGGCAAAGATGGAAAGGTGGGATGGGGTGAGGTGGTGGGAGTGGGGATCAGCTTCTTGCCTGTCTTCCAGTTTAGCCTCCTGCTTCAAATCCTGCCACACCCCGATTTCAGTCAAAGGCTATTTCTTGAGTAAACACTTCTCAGGTAAAATGAGGAAGGAAACGTACCTCCACCTCCTGCCACCTGGCTGCTTCTACTCCTTCCAGCTTTCTCCCAGACCTTACGATTGCCTGCTAGAGCCACACATGCTGATGTTCCCACAAAAGCTGTCTGTCACCCTGTCTCACCCATCACTTACTACTGAGACCAACCTGACAGCCACATGGGCAGAGGAGACACCAGTGGAGTCCCCGGCATGTGTGGGCACGTTTCTGTAATGGAGTCTCATTTGGAAAAAGCAAAACTGGCCAGGTAAGCGGCTCATGCCTGTAATCCCAGCACTTTGGGAGGCTGCGGAGGGTGGGTAACCTGAGGTCAGGAGTTTGAGCCTGACCAACATGGTGAAACCCTGTCTCTACTGAAAAATACAAAATTTGCCCGGTGTGGTGGCAGGTGCCTGTAATTCCAGCTACTTGGGAGGCTGAGGCAGGAGAATCACTTGAACCCGGGAGGCAGAGCTTGCAGTGAGCCGAGATCGTGCCACTGCTCTCCAGCCTGGGCAACAGAGCAAGACTCTGTCTCAAAAAAAAAAAAAAGTAGAAAGAAACAGTGAAATTGTCCCACATCACACATAAGGACATGATTTCCCTAAAGGAGCGTTTCTTAGGGCAGGAAGTGACCTCAGAGGCCTCTGGGACCCTGAATCTGTTCCCCTCAGCCCTTTGCCATGCAGGAAACAGTCCTGTGGCCATGTCCTCACACTGCTTGCTGTCCGGGTGGTGCTAAGACAGAAGGCTCCTGAGGGAAGAGAGAAAGGTTCGATTTCTCCTGCCCGCCCGCCGGGCCTGGGCTGACTCCCCATTGCTCACTCACCGAGGCATCCTGGGCAGCGGTCCCTTTCGGCAGCCCTCTCTCCTCTGCCACCTTCCCAGCCATGGGGCCCACAGGTCTGTGCCCCTGGGCTGCAGCTCTCTTAGACCCAGCTGCTGCCTGCCAGGGCCAGTGTCTTCACTCTGTTTCCTGGAGCCTCCTGCCCTGGGCCCGTCTCTCCCAGCATTCCTCTCTGGCAAGCCCACCTACAAACATGTGTGTGTTCTGCCCACTGTCAAGATAAGGACGCGCTGGCTAAAGGTACATCAGATAATGGTCTCCGTGGCCAAGTCCCAGTCCTGCCATCCCGAGGGACTCCAGGGTCAGGTGGAGCAGGCAGGGCAGTCTGCCCCAGGCTCCCCAACTGAAGCCACTCTGGCAGGGTCAGGCCACCAGAAAATTTGCCCAGCTTTGCTGCCTGTTGGCCATGGGTGACCTCTCATTTTTGAGCCCCGGAGGGTCCACGGGTCTCCAAGTAAACAGGGGCTCCCAGAGCTCCCTGGAGGGGGCTCCTGCCACTGCCGTGGAGCCTCACAGCCTGGGCATCCTCCATGCCTCCTACAGTGTCAGGTAAGGCAGAGCCCTTGCTGCTGCTGCTCCCCCAGGAGCACGGGGGCTCTGCACTCAACCCTCTGCTGCCTTTCTTCACGCTTTAGGTGTCTGCCTGGGGACTTTGGGTTCCCTCTTTAGTGGATCGGGTGGAGAGAGGAGAGGGAGAAGGGCTGTGCTGGGAAACGTGGAGTGACAGTGAATGGCCCCTCCCCCTGCCCAGGGAAGGGCCTGGGCATAAACAAAGTGGCAGCAGTGCCCTGCCTACCCCAGTGTCTACGGCCTGCCCTCTGTGGATGGGAACGGGGGTACTGGGAATGCAAGGAATCTTGAAACCTGGTGAAGGAATGCAGGGACAGCCACCTCCCAGCCAAACGGACAGGACATTCGGAGCAACTCCAGCACAGGCCCCCTCCCTATGTGACAGACAGCCTCCGTCGCTATCTGCCAGGTTCTACAGAGGAGGGCGCTGAGGCTGAGAGACGTTAGGAGCCTGTCCGGAGACAACTGGGGTGGGGCACAGCTGGGATCAATGCTGGGGACCCAGGTGTAGTCCCTTCCAGGGCCCCAAGCTGCCTTTGCCTTCCTGGGGTTTCCTTTAAAGCCACCGCGTGAGGCCCTGGTGGGACGTCACATCTTGCCGGCAGCAGTGGACCAGGCAGATCCTCAAAGATGTCTCCTTGTACGTGGAGAGCGGGCAGATTATGTGCATCCTAGGAAGCTCAGGTAAGCTGGGGAAGGAGGATTCTAAAAAGGCTTTGGCTTGAGTTGAACTCCACATTGAAGAAACAGATTAAGTTGTAGCAAGAACGCCACAGGTTTGATATTAGAATGAAATCTAATGATGTCTGACTGTGAATGGAACCTGCTACCAACGTGAAATCTTTAGAAAGATCCTTGAAAGAGGATAAAATCCTGCCTAACATATACGTGAATTCATATTTCAAAATATAAAAAGGCCCCACAGTTCCATAGCATATAAAAGTACTCAGAAAACACAGTTTCCCCTATCTGTACACTGCCAAGAGAAAGGAAAAGGATTAAATAAGCACAAAAATGCCCATTAAGCCCCTATCTTTGATTCCACTGGTCCTGTTTTATGATGGTATATTTTGGACATACAATCAAGAATAGAGAATAGGCTGGGCACAGTGGCTCACGACTGTAATCCCAGCAGCTTAGGAGGCTGAGGTGGGAGGATCGCTTGAGCCCAGGAGTTTGAGACCAACCTAAGCAACATAGTGGGACCCCATCTCTACAAAAAAATACAAAAGTTAGCCAGGCATGGTGGTGCATGTCTGTGGTCCCAGCTACTCGGGAGGCTGAGGTGGGAGAATTGCTTGAGCCCAGGAGGTTAAGACTGCAGTGAGCTGAGATAGTGCCACTGCACTCTGTTGCCTGGGCAACAGAGCAAGACCCTGTCTCAAAAAAAAAAAAAAAAAAAAAAAGGAATTCCCAGACTGTCTCAGTCCATTCAGGCTGCTAAAACAAAATACCATAGACTGGGTGGCTTATAAAAAGCATAAATTTTTTTCTCACAGTTCTGGGGGCTGGAAAATCTAAGATCAAGGGGTCAACAGATTCAGTGTCTGGTGAGGAAGACTTCCTCCTAGACAGCCATTTTCTCACCCTAACCTTGCGTGGCAGAAGTGGGGAGGGGTCTCTGAGGTATTCATCCCAATTGTAAGAGCTCTCCATAACCTAATCATCTCCCAATATCACCTCCTTGCATGCCCCAGCTCCTAATACCATCATCTTGGGTAAGATTTCAACATATGAATTTTAGGGAGACATAAACAGTCAGACCATAGCACTGACTAAAGCTGTTACACTTTTCAAAGACTTTCTGTCAGTTCTCATTTCCATTTTTAACCAATATCTAGCTGTACACATGTACTGTAACATGCAGGGTCATTCTCAGCTTCCTTTTGATAAATGCAGAGCGCTTCTTTAAAAAGAAAAAAAACCTGCCTCTTCTCCTTTAACAAACTGTCACCTGTTGTCATCCTTATAAAGAATTAAACAGGGTGACATTTAGCACCCTTCTCAGAAGTGTGTCTCACTTCTAAGAACAACAAGAGATGGAACCCCCCATCTCAGAAGTGCACTCCAAAGGCCAATGTTGTGTTTCACGCACCTACAGCACGACAGCGGGAGGAGCTCTTGATTGGGGTGGGGGTGTGGGTTGGTTTCTGATGAGATGCCTAATCATGGCTTTCGGACAATGCCTACCCTTTATACTGAAATGAATCCACAGTGGGCTGCAACTTCTACAAGGGCAGGGACTGTATTCTGCTGTATCCTTATCACCTAGAACAGGGTCGGTCACATAGTGGGTGCTTAATAAATATTTGTTGAATAAAGGAGTAAAGTAATTTTATGAATTACTCCATAGTATTGCATAAAATGACAATCCCATTGGTGTCTTATCTCAAGCAGTGTTATCTATCAAATCTTTATTAGCGAGGCCAAAGATGATGACATATATGTTCAAAGTCTCACTAGAGCGTAGTCTAAAGCAAGCCTGCCTAGAGCCATCTGACTCCAGGGGAACTCCAACTGAAACTCATTTGAATTGTTATTTGCTGTTGAGGAGGGCGTAGACTCTGGATTGGATGCTTCTTTGCAGATTATTTAGTTGCAAATGATTTCTGTCCTGTTACAAAAGAAAACTACAAATGTCATAGTTTTATTGCCCTTTAGGGCATTAACCATTTTTGTGTCTAACTTTGTTATCTTATTCCAACCTTCTTTTCCCCACTGTCTATACATATCAATTTCTCATATTCTTTTCTTTTTGAGATGGAATCTCACTCACCCTATCACCCAGGAGTGCCGTGGTATGATCTCGGCTCACTGCGACCTCCACCTCCCAGGTTCAAGCAATTCTCCTGCCTCATCTCCTGAGTAGCTGGGATTACAGGCGCCTGCCGCCACACTCAGTTAATTTTTGTATTTTTAGTCCAGATCGGTTTTCACCATGTTGGCCAGGCTGGTCGTGAACTCCTGACCTCAGGCTGCCTGCCTCAGCCTCCCAAAGTGCTGGGATTACAGGCATGAGCCACCACGCCCAGCTTCTCATATCTTCTTTTGAATGAGCTTTGTCATCTTGCTGGTTCCCTAATTAATGAGTTAATAAATATTTGACATGCTTTTTAAAAAACTAAATTCATTATCTATTGTAAAAAAAAAAAAAAGTATCCCACAGTTTAGTGGCTTAAAACAACACCATTCATGATCTCTCAGAATGTCTATGAATCAGAGCTCTGGAAGTGGCTTGGTTGGGTAGTTCTGTCTTGGGATCCCTCCCAGAGAAGTATACGCTGGATGTGGCAACAATAAAGTGGATTTTATATCCCTGGGGAGGCCAGTTTTGATGAAGTGGTGGGGTGGGACTCAGGCTGCAGGATATCTGCAGCTTCTGTTAGAGTTCAGATTGGATCGAAAAATGTAAAGCCAGGGTGGCTCTGGTTAGAAGAACCGCACGACTGGGAAATTACAGGGCACATTTTGAAAGACAATCCCAATGAAGTCACATTTTGTTTCTTTGTCATGGGTTTTCCTCTCTTTCCCCACTCTGATCACCCCCTGAACACGCTGGGGCTAATTCTGAGTTTTGTCAGTTATGCATTAGAAAAGAAGACAGCTGCTAAGGGAGTTGATTCATCTTTGTACCTCTCATAGCAACAAGCAAGTTTCTTCAAAATATTTCAACAAGGGCCAGGTGCAGTTGCTCATACCTGTAATCCCGGCACTTTGGGAGGCCGAGGCAGGCGGATCACCTGAGGTCAGGAGTTCAAGACCAGCCTGACCAACGTGGTGAAACCCTGTCTCTACAAAAATACAAAAATTAGCCAGGTGTGGTGGCAGATGCCTGTAATCCTAGCTACTCGGGAGGCTGAGGCAGGAGAATTGTTTGAACCTGGGAGATGGCAGTTGCAGTGAGCTGGGATCTTGCCACTGCACTCCAGCCTGGGCGATAGAGTGAGACTCCATCTCAATAAATGAATAAATAAATAAATAAATAAATAAAGGGCCGGGTGCAGTGGCTCATGCCTGTAATCCCAGCACTTTGGGAGGCCGAGGTGGGCAGATCACGTCAGGAGATTGAGACCATCCTGGGTAATGCAGTGAAACCCCATCTGTACTAAAAATACAAAAAACTTAGCCGGGCGTGGTGGTTTGCGCCTGTAGTCCCAGCTACTCAGGAGGCTGAGGCAGAATAATGGCGTGAACCTGGGAGGCGGAGGTTGCCGTGAGCTGAGATTGTGCCACTGCACTCCAGCCTGGGCAACAGAGCAAGACTCTGTCTCAAAATAATAATAATGATAATAATAATAATAATATTTCAACAAAAGATCTCTTTGACTCTGCACAGCCATCTCATCAGCAGATTTCTCTTGCTATCTTCCCAGATAGTTCAGAACTTCCTGCCTATTTCTCTGTTATGAATCCCAACTCTTCAGCCTCCTTGGATAGGAAAGGCCTGGGAGGTCTATTCTGTCTCCATGAACTCTGGGTCTGTGGTAAACTTGTGTCCAGTATGACTGAGGGGTCATCAGGCTGTTGTCTAAAGGCATCACCTAACCTTTAACCTTAGAACAAAGCAGTGGCTCACGCCTGTAATCCTAGCACTTTGGGAGGCTGAGGCGGGAGGATCACCTGAGGTCAGGAGTTTGAGACCAGCCTGGCCAACATGGTGAAACCTCGTCTCTACTAAAAATACAAAAATTAGCCGGGTGTGGCAGTGCATGCCTGTAATCCCAGCTACTCAGGGGGCTGAGGCAGAAGAATGGGTTGAACCTGAGAAGTGGAGGTTGTAGTGAGCCGAGACGGTGCCACTGGACTCCAGTCTAGGTGACAGAGCGAGACTTAGTCTCACTCAAAAAGAAAAAAAAAAAAAAAGAAAGAAAGAAAAAAGCAAACCAAGGCAAGCATTATCCCGCAGTCACCTCCAGCAGGCAGGCAGTTCACCACAACCCCTCTGTGGGAACCTTCCTAGTGACATCCAGCTAGGCTGTGCCCCAGGCTCTAGTGTAGGCTGTGGCCAACTTGGTTTTACCAAAGGACTTACCAAGCCAGTGCTTCTCAACCTCGACTGAAGCAGATCTGACTCACCAGGTCGCGGGTGGGGCCTGGGGCTCTGCATTTCTGGCAAGCTCTCAGGGGTTGCTGATGCTCCTTGCTTTGTGAGCAAGGCTCTAGACAATGTCACATACATCCAGGTACAACCAGACCGCCCCAGGGGGGCCACAAAAAGAAATCCGTCCTAGGATCCAAACGTTTCCAAGAGTCTTGGCTTTCCTCTTATTCTGATACCTATAGGTATTTTGTTTTTCAATCCAAAACAGTTTTAAAGGCAAACGAACAAGCAGAGAAAGCACCTTCGGTCTTGACCCAGATGAAAGAAATGGCATGTCCCCTCTCACTCAGGGGACAATCCAGAGACTCATTTGCGCGTGAGACTGCTGCATGCACAGTGCGCGTTCTACAGGGCAGGGCCTGTATCCTGTTGTATCCTTAATACCTAGAACAGGATCCCTCACGTAGCACTCCTGGCACGCGGGGTCATGCCCACACAGAGGGTCTCGGGAAGCTCCTCCAAGGCCGGCATAGAGGGGTTCCCCCAGGGCCTTCTGTTGTCGCCCCACAGGCTCCGGGAAAACCACGCTGCTGGACGCCATGTCCGGGAGGCTGCGGCGCACGGGGACCTTCCTGGGGGAGGTGTATGTGAACGGCCGGACGCTGCGCCGGGAGCAGTTCCAGGACTGCTTCTCCTACGTCCTGCAGGTGAGCGCGTCCCCCACACCCCTGGCCACCCGCCCGCCCCGGGGGCTCGGGCTACACTGACGCCCGAGTCTCCTGCAGAGCGACACCCTGCTGAGCAGCCTCACCGTGCGCGAGACGCTGCGCTACACCGCGCTGCTGGCCATCCGCCGCGGCAACCCCGGCTTCTTCCAGCAGAAGGTGGGTGCAGCCCCCCGCTCACAGCAGGCAAACTGAGTACCTTTGCACCCCCCGCTGCCCTCCTCTCTTCGCCTACGCTTGCCCATTACTCCCCTTTGCTCGTCACTCCTTCACTCTAGAGCGCGCCCTGCGCCTTGCACCGTGTACCCTGTGCTGCCTGAGAGGGCAGCCCCTAGTCACATGTGCTTTTGGAAGACTTGAAATGTCACTAGTCCAGACTGAAACGTGCTCTAAGCGCAAAATACACATCAGATTTCAGACTCTGAGTCTGAGAAAAGCAGAATGTGAAAAAACCCGTTAAGAATTTTTAGGTCTGGCAGGGTGGGCTCACACCTGTAATCCCAGCACTTTGGGAGGCCAAGACGGGAGGATTTCTTGAGTCTAGAAGTTTGAGACCAGCCTGGGCAACATAGCGAGATTCAGTCTCTACAAAAAATACAAAAATTAGTTGGGTGTGGTGTTGTGCGCCTGCACTCCCAGCTGCTCAGGAGGCTAAGGCAGGAGGATCTCTTGAACCCAGGAGGTAGAGGCTGCAGTGAGCTATGATTGCACCATTGCACTCCAGCCTGAAGGACTAAAGGAGACCCTGTCTTTACCAACCAACCAAATAAATAAATAAATAAATAAATTTCAAAAAGTATTGATTACAGGTTGAAATGGTATTTTTTGGCTGTAAATAATATGTTATTAAAATTTCACCTGTTTCTTTTTACTTTTCAAAATATGGCTACTAAAATATTTCACTTCTGTCTGTGGCTTGCACTACCCTTCTCTGGGACCATGCTGTTCTACAAGTTCCCTGTTTGAGCAGATATAGTTTTTTGTTTTTTGTTTTTTGTTTTTTTTTTTAAATAGATATAGTTATTTTTGCCACTGATTTTTCTCAGCTTGCTTGGAGACATCTTGAACTTGCCTCATCCAAACTGGACTGAGTTAATGAAGGAAGAAACGAATGAATTGTCAACTCCTTCTAGGTTCCAATCTCTTTCTTAATGGTCTCCAGTTTGGAAGCAGTCACAAGTAAACCCACCTGGGACCTTACCTGGAAACTACTTCATTTCTCTCTAGACTGGAAAGGCCCACAAGCACCCAGGGAACCAATGACAGGTGGACATGCCTCCTTCAAGGGGCACAGCTCCCTGGGAGCAGGAGAACTCCTGATAGCAGAGTTCTCTCCAATTGTGAGTCTTTTCTGAGCAAATCCAGCCCACAGCGTGTAAAATCCTGACAAGTAATTCAGTGGGAAGGAAGTGCTGATTATAATAAAGGAGACAGCATGGCAGATCTGCTTCTGTCCATGGAAGAACCTGGAAATAAAGCATGGCCAATGTGAGCAGGCTGTGTCTGCGGGGCTGTTGGCTAAGGCTCAGGCTTCCTGGACTGCTTGAGAGAGCCCAGACAGTCCTCTCAATCCTGGCCCTGCCATTTGCTAGTGGCATTATCTTGGGCAAGTTATGGACCTCTCTCTGTTTTCTCCTCTATAAAAATACAGTAAGAATGCATTTCTCCTGGGTTTGATGTGAGGAATACATCAGATTATGTGAAAGCACAGAGCATGGAGGGTTGGACTTGATCATCCCAATGATCCTTACAAGGTCCTTACAATATTCCTTACAAGGACTCTGAATTCCATTTCCAACAGTGTTTCCAAAATATGGGAGAGCATTGCTGCTGGGGTGTGAAACCTCTGAGACAAATTAAGTAAATGTCTTCTCTGTCCATCCCTTCCAAGCCAGGAGGGGCAAGCTTACTCCTTATGATGTTATAGAGACATTCTAGAAGGAGGCTCAGAAATCTACCCTGGCTGGTGAGCACAGAAATCTCACAGTGTCAAGCAAAGCTTAATTCCAGGATCCTGCTACCCTGATGGCAAGAGAAGACCTTTCTTTTTTTCCAGAATATATCATGCTAGTTTATTTATGCATTTTTTACCTTCTCGTTATTCCTTTGTACCTATTTCAGACATGTCCATTCTTTGGGTGGGTCAAAGCTACCTCTAAGGTGTCAACCCCACTCCCTGACTCCTCTTGAATGTAGGTCCACAAGTCATTCCCTCTTCTTCTGCAATCTAGCTTATTGTTTTTTAATGCAATGGTTTTGTTTCCATTTTCATAACATGGCTTTATTAGGGGTGTCTGGAAACAAAACTCATTACCATATGAGTACCTTCCGTCTCTTTCTGCTTTCCCCCTGGGGTTTCTGCAGATAGAGGTAATCAGTACGGGAGGACAGAAACAGATTTGTGAACAGGTCTCTGGAGAGGAGATAAGCTGGGGAAGGAAAGAGAGAGAGGGAGGAAAAAAGCCAAGCTTCTTGATTAGAAAGTCAGTAAAGAATTTTTTTTAGTTGTTATTGTTTTGGGGGCGTTGAGAATGAGGAGGAAAAAGGGTTTCAGGGAGCTGCAGGGTTTAAGTAGAGTGAAGAGAATTGGAAGAAAGGGGATTTTAGATGTGGCTGGGGGTTATAAATTGGGTTCCCCTTAAAGTCCTTAAATACATTCAAATAAAGATTGGAATTATTTTTAATTGCTTCTGAAGGCTGGATTATATGTCTCTGATGCGAAATCACACGGAGGTTGTACCACACGGGACCCCAGCACTTATTTGGGTTATACAGTGGGAAACAGGTTTAGTTCAAATCAGGTTGGATTTTTTTAAACATATAAAGCATTTATGATAATAAAGTTTCTAAACCCAAACACTTAAAGTAAGTGATATTGTAATCATGACTTTGGGGGATTTTTCTGTATGGGCTGCAGTGACTGTGGCTCCTGCAAATAGGAGTTTAATGAAGTATCTGTTGTTTCCTGGCTAATTTTCCTGAAGCAAGTGTAAGCAGTTTTTGTTCTAGGGAATCTTATTTTATTTGTTTATTATTATTATTTTTTGAGTCGGAGTCTTGCTCTGTCACCCAGGTTGGAGTGCAGTGGCGCCATCTTGCCTCACTGCAACCTTGGCCTCCTGGGTTCAAGCAATTCCTCTGCCTCAGCCTCCCGAGTAGCTGAGATTACTGGTGCCCGCCGCCACACCCAGCTAATTTCTGTATTTTTAGAACAGACGGGGTTTCACCATGTTGGCTAGGCTAGTCTCGAACTCCTGACCTCAAGTGATCCACCAACCTCGACCTCCCAAAGTGCTGCTGGGATTACAGGTACAAGCCGCCATGCCAGGCCTATTTTATTTTATTTTATTTTATTTTATTTTATTTTATTTTATTTTATTTTGGAGACAGGGTCTTGCTCTGTCGCCTAGGCTGGAGTGCAGCGGTGCCATCATGGCTAACTGTGGTCTCAACCTCCTGGGATCAAGCCATCCTCCTGTCTAAGCATCTCGAGTAGCTGGGACTACAGGCATGTGCCAGCACACCCGGCTAATTTATTGTTTCTTTTTTTGTAGAAACGGGGTCTCTCTTTGTTCCCCAAACTAGTCTCAAACTCCTGTCCTCAAGCAACTCCCCCTCCTCAGCCTTCCAAAGTGTTGGGATTATAGGCATGAGCCACTGCACCCAGCCTCTGGGAACGTTTTAAAAAATGCATATTATTTATTTAAATCTGACACATGTATTATATTACGATTTAAGTCAAATTGGATCATATTATTAGCAAAGACGTGCTTTCTCCAGGGTGTGGTGAGTCTGGAAGTGGCCCTTGGATTCTTGGGGGGCGTGTTGCCTCTTTCATGTCCTCCCCAGCCCGTGAATTGAAATAGCACCCACAGCCACGCCCAGCCTTCCTGTAATTTGTGTCTCCTGCAGGTGGAGGCCATCATGGCAGAGCTGAGTCTGAGTCATGTGGCAGACCGACTGATTGGCAACTACAACTTGGGGGGCATTTCCACTGGTGAGCGGCGCCGGGTCTCCATCGCAGCCCAGCTGCTCCAGGATCCCAGTAAGTGGCACCCAGAACTGTTACTAGTTGCTGTCTGGACATCTTCTGTGTGTCTGCAGATACTTTGGGCCCTGTCTTCACAGTCCTCATTCGGAAAGGGGTTTGTGTGCAACTGAAATCATAGATTTTTCAAATTGGGGACCCAGTTTTTTCAGAAATGCTGTATAGTTCATTTCCTGATGTGATTCCATCATCCAAACAAAACAGCTCCTGGACCCGGAAGCGTTGCATTGGTGTTGGAGTGTTCCATTGGGATTTTCCATGAACACGGAGCCTTGCCCGGCCAATCATTTCTCCTCACCAGGGGAATACCACTGTGTGGGCTGGGGAGAGCCAGTGAGTTTTGGTATGACCCAGGTGTTCATGAAATGGCAGGAATTAAAATAGGAATTTGAACGATAAACTCAAAAGTGTGTATGTTGTGGGGAAGGGAGTATCAAAACAGAGTAGTCGATCCTCTGCCTGGTTTGGTCATTTTCCCTATCACCTGGGGAAACGTTGCCACTCATATGCAGTTGGAGAGGACAAACTGCATCTGGATCCTTTCTTTGCACTGTGGTAGACCAGGACTGCCTGTTCTTCAGATGGTGCTTGGTCACCAGAAGGCAAATAAGAGAGATGTTTTTAAGAGCCCTTGTCACTTTTTTTTTTTTTTTTTTTTTTTTTTTTTTTTTAGAGAGTCTTGTACTTTAACCCAGGCTGCAGTGCAGCGGTGTGATCTCAGCTCAATGCAACCTCTGCCTCAAGAGTAGCTGAGATTACAAGTGTGCATCACGACACCTGGCAAATTCTTGTATTTTTAGTAGAAGTGGGGGTTTCACCATGTTGGTGAGGCTGGTCTCAAACTCCTGGCCTCAAGCGATCTGCCTGCATCGGCCTCCCGTAAGCCACCGTGCTTGGCCTCCCGGGTCTCTCTTATTCTCCAGGTTGTTTCTCTCTGCTCCCACTCTATCCTCGTGCTGAGAAAGATGGTCCCATCATAATTCAAGCTTCAAGCAAAAGTCTCATAATGCTTTGCCATAAGGACTTTTTTTTTTTTTTTTTTTTGGAGACAGAGTCTCGCCCTGTCGCCCAGGCTGGAGTGCAGTGGCACAATCTCGGCTCACTGCAACCTCCGCCTCCGGGTTCACGCCGTTCTCCTGCCTCGGCCTCCCAAAGTGTTGGCATTACAGGCGTGAGCCACTGCGCCCGGCCCCCTTGTCACTGCATAGGTAGAAATAAGTTACTTTAAACCCTCTAAAGAACCCAAATGCCTGCCACACTTCAGACCTTGTTTTATTGGTCAGATTTTTTTTCTTTTCTGTGCAAAGACCCTGCTGGTGTTGGAAAGTGTTACAGACATGAAATGGGGTTGTCTTTTTGACCAGCCTCCTCTCAGTCTTGTTTTAAAACAACTTGATGCCAGCCTGCCAGCCGTTGTTCTCTGGCAGGGTGCCCTGAGCAGAGCGCAGATGGCCCATAGTACCCTGTAAGAGGCCTGATCTTCTTACTCCCTGTACCCTCGAGGATTTGAGCCCCACATGTGCTCCAGAGCTGGGAACTAGGCCCCTCCACAGCAGGTGCTTTCTCCTGAGCTCAGGCTGAAAGCTAGTTTACATGTTTCCTTCCCACTGCACACTGTTTGGATGTGGTGCAAGCTCAATAAGGAACAGTTCAGAACTCCGAGTTTTAAGCACAGAGCCTGGGCTCTGCAGTGCCTCAGAAGTCTGGCCCTTCTTTGCTGGCAGAGGTCATGCTGTTTGATGAGCCGACCACAGGCCTGGACTGCATGACTGCTAATCAGATTGTCATCCTCCTGGTGGAACTGGCTCGCAGGAACCGAATTGTGGTTCTCACCATTCACCAGCCCCGTTCTGAGCTTTTTCAGGTAAGGGATTCAACTCGTAAAGGCCGGGTCTATGGTGTATTGAGCTGGGAATCACAGGGGCAGGGGTAAGATTTGTACCAGTGGCCAGGCACGGTGGCTCACACTTGTAATTCCAGCACTTTGGGAGGCTGAGGCAGGAGGAGCACTTGAGGCCAGGAGTTTGAGTACAGGCTGGGCAATAAAGTGAGACCCTCCTCATCTCTAAAAAAAAAAAAAAAAAAAAAAAGACAGAAAAAGAAAGATTAGCCAGGCATGGTGGTGCACACCTGTGGTCCCAGCTACTTGGGAGGCTGAGGTGAGAGGATCACTTGAGCCCAGTAGGTTAAGGCTGCAGTGAGTCATGATCATGCCATTGCACTCTAGCCTGGGTGACAGAGCAAGACCTCATCTCAAACCAACCAACCAACAAACAAACAAACAAAATTAGTACTAGAGCAATTGGAGACAACAGCTCCTGAAAGGGAAAGAGCAAAGGATGAAAATTCACTTCTTTCAGCACCTACCATGTTCCAGATACTTTCTATACATAGCTCATTTCATCTCCACAACACTCCCATGAGGTGTGTTTCAGGATATTCACCTTACGGAGGAAAAGAGTGAAACTTAGCAACGATTCAAACTTCATAGTTGGGTGTGGTGGTGTGCGCCTGTAATCCCAGCTATTCGGGAGGCTGAGGCAGGAGAATCACTTGAACCCAGGAGGTTGCAGAGAGCCGGGATCATGCCACTGCACTCCAGCCTGGGTGACAGAGTGAGATTCCGTCTCAAAAACAACAACAACAACAAAACAACAACAACTAATTGAGCCAAGATCACACAGTTATTAATAGTAAAAAGCTAGCATTAGGCTTTCACAGCCAAGTTGGCTTCAAAGGCTGTGTTTTTCCACGAAATCATACAGATTTCCTTCCAAAAAAATCTCACTTTCTCTGCCCAGTATCCCTTTAGTTAGCTTTTATTTGCTTTTTATAGAGGAGGAGCCGAGATTTAAAATGAAAACAAAACAACAAACTAAGACCCACCCCAGCTCGCCCGAGGTCACTCACTTGGCTTGGCTGGGACTTAACCGCAGGTTCAGTCATGCTTGTCTCTCCCAGCTATGAAGCTGGACCTCAGGATGGGAGGCAGCGTGACCCACAGTGGTAGCCTAGGCTCACAAGGGTAGCGATGCACTTCGAATGTCTCCAAGAATACTGATGCAGGGCCAAGGTCATCGAAGGACTGACTGCTTAGAAATGCATTTCCCATAAGGACATGGCGACTGTAAGGAATACTTGACCTTGGGCCTGCATCAGTGTTCCCGGAGACATTTGAAGTGCATCGCTACCCTTGTGATCACACACTAACTTCGTCTGTTGTCTGATCAGCTCTTTGACAAAATTGCCATCCTGAGCTTCGGAGAGCTGATTTTCTGTGGCACACCAGTGGAAATGCTTGATTTCTTCAGTGACTGCGGTTACCCTTGTCCTGAACATTCAAACCCGTTTGACTTCTATAGTAAGTTTTTCTTTCACATTCCCCATCATGAATGTTTTTTAAACTGTCTCATCTCAGACTTCTGCCTGGATGACATGAGCTCTAGTGGGTTTGATTTTTGCTTTTGTTTTTGTGCTTTGTACTCTTCAAGGAATTAATTTGGCGGGGTCAATTAACTTGCCAAAGATGACTATCAGAATGAGGTCGGGGATCTCTCTCAAACAAATTGGCGCACTGCTACTACTTTATCAGAGCATAATTAGCTGAGCTTGGGAATTCTCCCAGATAATCCCAGTGGGATCCTCAAGGCCCTGCTGGGATGCTTTAAAGTATTCTGATTTTATAGGTGGGCATTAACCACAAATTTTATCTTGATGGGATGAGGTATTATGGCCAGTACTCCTGTACTAATTGTATATCCATGTGCATGCATGCATTTAAAAACACATGGGTGACATCTTTTGGGAAAAACTTTTAGTGGACCTGACGTCAGTGGATACCCAAAGCAAGGAAAGGGAAATAGAAACCTACAAGAGAGTCCAGATGATAGAATCTGCCTACAAGAAATCAGCAATTTGTCATAAAACTTTGGAGAATATTGAAAGAACGAAACACCTGAAAACATTACCGATGGTTCCTTTCAAAACCAAAGATTCTCCCGGAGTTTTCTCCAAACTGGGCGTTCTCCTGAGGTAAGAGGCTCACAAATGTGAGCAATGCCCGTTGGAGGTCTTTAGCCATCCCCCAATAACAGTTCTGAAAAGGAATTAAAACAGGGTTGTTTATTTTCAGGAGAGTGACAAGAAACTTGGTGAGAAATAAGCTGGCAGTGATGATGCGTCTCCTTCAGAATCTGACCATGGGTTTGTTCCTCCTCTTCTTCGTTCTGCGGGTCCAGAACAATGTGCTAAATGGTGCTATCCAGGACCGCGTGGGTCTCCTTTACATGTTTGTGGGCTCCACCCCGTACACAGGCATGCTCAACGCTGTGAATCTGTGTAAGTGCCCACGTGCTGGAAGTGCACCTCTTTCTCCCTAAACACCTCCCTTCTCCAGCTGTAACCTTACAAAAGTCCACCATTGTAAAGGTATTTCTCTGAGCTCAACCCGGCCCTCTACGGATTCCCTCTCTGGGGAAAGGCAACTATTGAGTTACCAACACATTAATATGAATGAGCTCACCAGGTGGATCTCTCTGAGGGGCTAAGGATCCAGGGAAACATGAAGTGACAATGCACTGGTGGGGAGAGTTTGAGGAGTTTTTCAAAAGATCATTCCTCCTATCTCATCTTGGCCACCTCGAATGCACGGCCCATGGGGGCTCAGCGACCAGGCCAACTGTGTGCCATTAGCTTCTTTTTGGAGCTGGTTTTAGGACAGCCAGCACCTAATTTTCAAATTCAGTGGAATTCCAGAGACAACACCTGGTTGCCTAACGTTGCAGGAAGCTGGCGTTAGAGGGATTCCCCAAAGGCAACACTGTTAGGGAACAAGACGGAAGGACTTGGCCAGGCGGTGGCTCAAACCTGTAATCCCAGCACTTTGGGAGGCCAAGACGGGCGGATCATGAGGTCAGGAGATCGAGACCATCCTGGCTAACCCGGAGAAACCCCATCTCTACTAAAAAATACAAAAAACTAGCCGGGCGAGGTGGCGGACGCCTATAGTCCCAGCTACTGGGGAGGCTGAGGCAGGAGAATGGCGTAAACCCGAGAGGCGGAGCTTGCAGTGAGCTGAGATCCGAAGATCCGACCACTGCCCTCCAGTTTGGGCGACAGAGCGACTCCGTCTCAAAAAAAAAAAAAAAAAAGACGGAAGGACTTTGCTATTGTGAAGTTGCCCTAGAGCTTGACATGAGGGGCAATGCTAAGTGTCTGCATCTGTGGGGTTTGCCTGGCCTTCTGAGAGCAAGTCTAAAATGCAGGCTGCTGGTGGCAGGGGCAGGGCGGGGCGGGCCGGGGGGAGTCCTGCACAGAAAGGAGACAAAATGCTTCAAATCACTTATTCATGCCCCTTTTGCATGTACTTTTCTTGAATTGGTGACAACTCCTCACTTTAGAGAGAAGGAAATAAATGACATCTTTTGCAATTGTATTGCAATTCAGGTAGAGTGTAGATTTCTGGGGTGGAAATTTATTGTCCTGTGGATGGCAGGTCCCCTCCTTCTATGACTAGGGAACTCCCCCTAGCTGGTCCTCACCATCCAGCCCTGACAGACCTCACGTTCAGCTTGGGCTAGCCCTCCCTCTTTCAGCTGGGTGGTGACTGACTTCTGAAACCTGCCTTCCATTCCCAGTTCCTGTGCTGCGAGCTGTCAGCGACCAGGAGAGTCAGGATGGCCTCTACCAGAAGTGGCAGATGCTGCTGGCCTACGTGCTGCACGTCCTCCCCTTCAGTGTCATTGCCACGATGATTTTCAGCAGTGTGTGCTACTGGTGAGGGGTTGTTCTGTTCACCCAGGGCCGGGCTCCCATGGAGTCATGGAGCTAGTGGGACTTCTGCAGGGAGAGCTCCAGGGTGAAGTTCTCTGCTCCGGAGGATCTACACTTTGCCCATCAGTGTCTAGTGCAATGTCCTATCTTCCAGGACATTAATGTTATTGTAAATAGCCCAACTGTGGGCTGGGGGAGACCTGAGAACAAACCAACAAGACGACACATGCCTGGGAATGGCCTGTCCCGCATTCATGGCAGGGCTTGGGCCAGAGAAGAGGGCTCTGAAGTGGCTGGGACCCAGGTGCATGGGGGGCCCAGGGGCAGGGAGAAAACAGCCTGAGTGTAAAACCTTAAAACTGACACATTCGAGGGTGGGAAGAGGACAGCAAGCCAATAGAGGCGGCAGAGGGTGATCAGGGAGGCAGAAAGAGAAGCAGGATTGGGCAGCATCAGAGAGGAAGAGGAGGGAGAGAGTTTCAAGGAAGTGTTGTAAACACTTCGATATTGCAGGGGTTAAAGGAGCTGAGGCATAAGGGGAGGAGGCCATTGCAATTTTCCCAAAAAGAGCTTTGGTAGAGTCATGGGGTGTAAGTCAGGTTTACAAGAAGGTAAGGTGTAAGATGGAGGAAGCAGATACTGTAACTTGGTGTTACAGGGTAGGATGAAAGGGGCAGTTACTTTAATCATGATCAAGTTCAAAAAATGGTTGTTTTAGCATGTGGTAGACAAGACCATCAAAAAACATCAGATTGAGAGTAGATGAAAATGCAGTCAAAATTTGGATAAGTCAAAGAGGAAGTTTCCAGAGTAGACCAAGGTAGGGATAGGGGAATCAGTAACATGGGATCAAGGATGCAAGCAGCTAGGGTCACACTTTCAAAGATGGGGTGCGGGAAGAGAGAGGGGGAGAGAGAGAATGAAAAATAGAGATGATGAAGATATCAAGAAATTCATAAAATGGAAGGTGGATTCAGCTGCTGAGCACTGGGGAGAGAGATTGCAATTGGGGAGGGGAAATTTTAAAGTAGAGGTTTATATCAGTCATAATGGGACGTGCTATTAGAACTCAAGACACAATGAGGAAATCTTAGGGGTCCAGGGGCCAGCTGAGGCAAGATGGCAGAGGGGATCCAGTTAGTGCGGCAATAGGCATTGTCCAGCATACCTTCCATTGCTTAAGGGAGAATAGGGTCTCTGTGGGAACTGATAAGGCAAAGAATGGCAGAAGGGGCCCAGCATCTGTGGCAGTGAGGGCACTGGGGAAGTGAGAGGCCTGAGGCCATCATCAGAGAGGGTGTCCTCAGACTCTGAAATCCTGGGAGTGGAACCGTTTTGAGTGATATTTAAGTCCAAGACACGTGAGTGATGAAGATTAGGTTGCTGGAGCCACTGGAATTGAGATTAGCTAATTAGGAACCACTGATGTGGATGGCTCATCAGGAATGTTAAAGAGCTTGAGGAAAATGATAGTGGAGAGGAGCAGAAAGAATGACTCTGGTCCAGATGCTATAAAATAATCAAAGGTGAGAGAATGTTTTAAACATCACAGAAGACAACAACGAGGAATGGCATTGATAGCATAGGCAAACTTCATGATTTGTACAGAGGAAAAGTAGATGGCCTTGAAGAGGAAGTGGTAAGGAGGGGTGAGTATAAGACACGCCAACCTTTTCTGCTTACTCTACAAATGGGATAAAGAGCAGCCATGCCTAATGGTCATTGAAGACATGCTATCACCAGGGAAATGTAATTTGGAGAAAGGAATAGAAGAGGAAAGGTGCATGGATATAGGGTGGTTTGTTTGCCAGAAAACGAAGGTCAGGCCAGGCACGGTGGCTCATGCCTGTAATCCTAGCACTTTGGGAGGCTGAGGTGGGTGGATCACTTGAGGCCAGGAGTTCGAGACCAGCCTGGCCAACATGGCGAAACCCCATCTCTACTAAACACAAAAAAATTAGCCAGGTGTGGTGGCGCACACCTGTAATCCCAGCTACTTGGGAGGCTGAGGCAGGAGAATGACTGGAACCCGGGAAGCAGAGGTTGCAATGAGCCAATGTACTCCAGTTTGAGCAACAGAGTGCAACTCTGTCTCAAAAAAGAAAACGAAGGTCAAATCAGTGGAAGGGGTTGGTAGAATAAAAGACAAGAATGGAATGGAGTAGGCCTGGGGAGGGCTAACCTGATCGAGGACACAAGAAGTGAGGGGTTTTCACACAGGCAATAATCCCACAGAACAGAGATGAAGTTCAGGCAAGGGGTGCTGGGAGGCGGGTTGGGTGAGCCCGTTAACATTAAGGTAGGTGTGGTGCTGGCTAGGCAGAACATGGTTATTTATGAAGAAGCCTGTAGAGTTCAACAAGCCTGCTTCCTGCAGTGAGTTGTGACCATTGTCTAAGTAATTTAATGTTTTCCTATGAGAGCTGAAGGAGCTGTGAAAGGGAAAAGGTGGCTCCCAGTGAACTGCAGCCAATGGGAACAATTTGATGTAATAAATAGTCTCATGTTGGCTCTGTTCCGAAAAGACCTTTCAAAGGGGAGTGTGGCTTGCCCTGCAAACGCCTCCCACCCACTCACTACCAAGGGTTTATTCATAGAGGCAAGCACAGTATTTTTCTTAAATGATAGCCCTTGGAGAGGAAACTGAAGAGCTTATGCTTTTCTAGGACGCTGGGCTTACATCCTGAGGCTGCCAGATTTGGATATTTCTCTGCTGCTCTCTTGGCCCCCCACTTAATTGGTGAATTTCTAACTCTTGTGCTACTTGGTATCATCCAAAATCCAAATATAGTCAACAGTGTAGTGGCTCTGCTGTCCATTGCGGGGGTGCTTATTGGATCTGGATTTGTCAGGTAAGATATCATAATTCAAAAAATGTAGATTGGGATAACCTGTTATTAATGATCACCTAATAATGACTGAAGTAAAGGAATACCAGAGAACTGATAGTGGTTATGGATATTACCTTATAGTCTGGAGCTTTTGTACTGCTCGTTAATCATTATTGCCTTAGACCTTGAACTGTTCATTTGTCCAATAAAATGTCTTTTTTATTGGGAATCAGGAACTGACAAGTTTATGTTATGATATGATTCACATGTAATAAGCCATTATACCAAGAGAAGAAAACCAGTCCAGATGTTCCAGGAAAAACTCACAGCCCACATGACAGGCTAAATAAATTGCATATATTAGTTCATTTCTGACCTGGTACTGTTGATTTTGTACTGCAGTTCTCAATTCCCAGTTATTCTTAGGAATTAAGACTAGTCAGATAAAAAAAGAGCCTACAGGATAAAAGACTGCTCCAAACAGTATCAAGGCTTAAAGGACATGCACCAAATGATAGCAGTAATTATCTCTAGGTGATACTGATTTTAATTTTTTCTTCATATTTCCGTATTTTATCAATGTTCTATAATGGACAAGTATCATTTTATAACCAGGAAAAAATGCATCCACACACATTTTTAAAAAGCAGCAGCAAAAAGGGCAGAAAATTTTAAAAGGCTAAAAAACGATCCCAGGCAGGCGGTATGAGTGGGATCTAGTAAGTAATCCCTGGGTCCCCAAGGAAACATGAAGGCTGTTTCTTTGACTTAAACTTTTAAAACTCAAGTCAAAAAGCAAAAACATTACTGAGCATCTACTATATAAAATTATATGTGTGTGTGTTTAATTATTTAACTCTCAGAGCAATCCATTTTCAGAAAAGAAAATGAAGCTCAGACTTGACTTTGCTCAAGTCACACCACTATGAAGGCTGTGATGCATGTGACTTCCTGAGAGAGGCTGACCTGAGTCAGAAACTTCTTCTACCACTTGCCAGTCTCTTTTCTACCTAAATTAGTTTCCTCATTTACAAAAAAGAGATCACTATTTCAGCCTCACCATGATACCTCAAGGGATCATGAGAAGGAAAGAAAATAATCAATGTGAAAACACATTATAAATTGTAGTGAGTTATATGAAGGTGAGATATTATATAAAGCAAAGTGAACTAGGCTTTGCTCAATCAAGGAGGATATTTTTTCACACTAAGACCATTACATTGTATTTGTCCATGTTGCTTAAGTGGATTGTTAATATTTATGAAAAATGCAGAAATCAAATCACGCCAAGAGTCAAGCCAGCAATGTACAGAGCCAACCTTGGGCAGCATCTCCTCTTTTATATTATTTGAATCATTGTTTCAGTTAATCTGGTGCCATTTCATGTACAGATAATCCCTGACTTACGATTTTTTGAGAAAGTGATACTCGTTCTGTAGAAACCGTATTTTGTTTCTGTTTTTTTTGAGACGGAGTCTCACTCTACACCCAGGCTGAACTGCAGTGGCGCTATCTCAGCTCACTGCAACCTCCGCCTCCCAGGTCCAAGCGATTCTCGTGCCACAGTCTCCTGAATAGCTGGGATTACAGGTGTGTGCCACCATGCTTGGCTAATTTTTGTATTTTTAATAAAGATGAGATTTTGCCATGTTGGCCAGGCTGGTCTCGAACTCCTGACCTCAAGTGATTTGCCCACCTCGGCCTCCCAAAGTGCTGGGATTACAGGCATGAGCCACCGCAACAGGCCTAGAAACTGTATTTTGAGTAGGCATACAATCATTCTGTTTTTTACTTTCAGAACAGGATTCAATAAATTACATTAAATATTCAACAATTTATTATAAAATAAGCTTTGTGTTAGACGAATTTTCCCAACTGTAGGTTAATGTTAAGTGTTCTGAGCACATTTAAGGCAGACCAGGCTAAGCTGTAATGTTTGGTAGGCTAGGTGTCCTAAATGTGTTTTTGTTTTGTTTTTTGTTTGTTTTGAGAGGGAATCTCACTCTGTCACCCAGGCTGGAGTACAGTGGCATGATCTTGGCTCACTGTAACCTCTGCCTCCCATGTTCAAGTGATTTTCCTGCCTCAGCCTCCCGAGTAGCTGGGATTACAGGACATACCATTATGCCTGGCTAATTTTTGTATTTTTAGTAGAGATGGGGTTTCACCATTTTGGCCAGGTTGGTCTTGAACTCCTGCCCTCAGGTGATCCGCTCACCTCGGCCTCCCAAAGTGCTGGGATTACAGACGTGAGCCACCGCGTCTGGCCTTAAATGCATTTTTAACTTATAATATTTTCAACTTATGATGGATTTATCTGGAAGTAATGCCATCATAAGCAGCATTTGTATTGGGTTTTTAGGAAAAGGAGGTTAGTTGCTCTTTATTTATTTTTTTGTTTCTTGAAATAGAGTCTCACTCACTGTGTCACCCAGGCTGGAGTGCAGTGGCATGATCTCGGTTCACTGCAACCTCCGTCTCTTGGGTTCAAGCAATTCTCCTGCCTCAGCCTCCTGAATAGCTGGGATTAGAGGTGCGTGCCACCACACCCGGCTAATTTTTGTATTTTTAGTAGAGATGAGGTTTCACCAAGTTGGCCAGGCTGGTCACAAACTCCTAATCTCAAGTGATTTCCCTGCCTCGGTCTCCCAAGGTGCTGGGATTACAGGTGTGAGCCACTGCGCCTGGTGGTTAATTTGCTCTTAAAAGGTAGGCAGTGGCAAAGAATACTAAATGCTCTCAGATTAGTTGCAAAATCTTAACATCCCAAGGCTTCACATGAATTCCACTTCCATCACTGAATTAAAACTCTGCTCTTAAAGGCCACATCAACCTGCTAGTCATTCCGTTTACCCATTTTCCTGCCCAGTCATCATCTTTCTAGGTGAACTGCCTGTGGCATTTGTGCTGTTGGCTCCCTTCTCCTTTAAACACAAAGGAAATTAGCTTTGCTGTTTTTTCTGCTTACAAAATCATGAAGTTCTTGGGGGAAGAAATGCTCACAATATAAATATGGATGAGGAAGAAAGTAAAAGTTACCTGAAGTATCAGAGCCCAGAGTTAAATTTTGATGTAGTTCTTGCTAGAATTTGATATAAAATTTAACAAAGATGGAATCATCCTGTTGTATAAGATATAAAATATGCATACGTTTTTTCCCATTTAACAACATAATATGAACTAGCTGGGTGTGGTGTCACGTGCGTGTAATTTCAGTTACTCAGGAGACTGAGGCAGGAGAATCACCTGAACCCAGGAGGCAGAGGCTGCAGTGAGCCAAAATTGCGCCACTGCACTCCAGCCTATGTGACAGAGCAAGACTCAGTTTCAAAAAAAGAGACCAAAAAAGCACAAACCAACATAATGTGGACAATGTCATGTCAATACATCTAGATCTATGGTTCCTCCCGCTGCTTCTCCTTCTGTCTGTGCCTTTCACTGATCCATTTGTCTCTCTCTGCCACCTGCACAAAGTTTGTTGGTTGTTCCCAAGGCTAGAGGCGCACTCTCTCTGAAGGCCCCCTTTGTTTTCTCTCTCAGCCTATCACACGCTACCTCCTGTCATGGTTTTCCTTTGCAGTAATAGATTATCCGCCTCTTGAAGGCAGCAGCTATGTCTCATTCATCATTTTAGACCTTCTCAGCAGCCAGCCCAATTAGGCCTTGGACCATCAGGCCTGCAAACATTATTTGTTGAGTGAATAAGTGAATGACTCTGTCTTTGAACTGTATACACACTGCATCACTCACCAAATCATGTTGGTTTTCTTTTCTGATATCAAACCATAGGTGCATTTGGAACATTTTTGTTTGACTCCGTGTGGTATAGGCAGAAACAAAGGTGCACAGTTCCTACCTCAAAAAGATACCACCCTAGCCACTAGACAGCCACCCTCTCATGGCCAGCATCCTACTCCAGGCCTTTGTCATCTCAAACTTGAACTTTTGTTGGAGTCTGCTTTTTTTTTTTTTTTTTTTTCTGTTCTTACTCTGCCCTCATTCTGGCCATCCTTCTTGCTGAAGTCACGTTAATTTTCTCAGAATGCTGATTTCAACGTGACCTTTCTCACTCGTGTTCATTCAACCTCAACTCACGGCAAGGCCCTGAAATAGCTGTCTCAGGCTCTTGTTCTGAGATCCCCTCCCACTGTTCCTTCACATCCTCTCCTCCAGTCTTTCTGGCCCAGTCAGTCCAATATGCAGCCCTTGGTATGCCTGTACTCATACCATTTCTGCCTTCCTAGAATTTCCTTTCTGTTCCCCTAATTCCTTCCCAGAGTCCCACGTATCCTTTTCAATTAGTAACCTCTCAATGTGGTTAATTCAATGTTGTGCCTTAGGAAACTGACAATAACTGAAAGTTTGAGGACCACTTGGAAATAAGTGAAACCATAAATACTAAATACAAGAACAGCACGGATGTGTGGTACACATTTTATTTTAATACTTTCTTGGCACAAATAGTTCACTACTGTGTATTTTTATAGTTTTAAGGATATAGTCTATATCTCCAACTACATTACGGGTTCTTTAGGGATAGGATACGTCTTTTGAAGTTCTCAAGCTCCTAGAACTAGTGTCTTGCAACCAGAAAGAATTTTAAATCTTTTGATTGACAGGAAATATATGGTGGACTAAAAAGACCACAGTGTCAGCATAAAGTTTCACCTGACATAGATTGGAGTGGAGACATATTACATTTTCACAATGAATGTTGGCTCGGTCTCTCCTTCCTTTTTCCTTCGTATTCTAGGTTAGTTCTAACTTTCTACACTGGTACCTTCAACTTTCTCTGTAATCACAAATCTCCTCCTCCAATTGGTATGTGTTAGGTCTGTATTTTCTTGTATGTTTATATCAATAGTGCTTACCAAAATAATTAGACAGTAACTGTCTACTTGAGAGAACTGTTAAATTAAGGTCTTCACTGTAACAGGCTACCAAGCTGTGACTAAAAATGACAAAGTACTATGCTTACTGACTTGGAAGGATGTCTGAGACATATGTTTGGCAGAAAGAGTAGGTTGGGAAAGAGCATGAAGAGTTTAATTCCACTTATATAAAACTTTATAAACACATATGTTATATATATTGTCAAAATGTTAACAGTTATTTCTAGGCAATGGTATTTCTTTATATTTTTCAATGTTGTTTGAAGGTATTTTTTATAGTGAGCATCATTTTTACAATAAAGAGATAGAAAACTATATTCATGTTGGAAAACATAAGGATTGCCTTTCTTTTTATTTGGTAGGACTATTGCCAGAGCCCACTGAATTTCATTTTTGTTTTCTTTTTCTTAAGAAACATACAAGAAATGCCCATTCCTTTTAAAATCATCAGTTATTTTACATTCCAAAAATATTGCAGTGAGATTCTTTTAGTCAATGAGTTCTACGGACTGAATTTCACTTGTGGTAAGTATTCTATTTGGGGATATTATTTTTGCATGTTACTCTGAGGAAGCAATTTATTGGAGGAAATGTATTTTTGAAATAAAAGCTGTGTTTCATAATAATTCAAGTTAAAACTCTGTCTTGAAATGCGGTCCATTTTCTCTGATTTTTAAAATGAAAGAAAATAAGCAGTAGTCAAGTTAGTCTCCTGTCAAAGGTCAATAGGTAAGGGACATTCGGATGTTGTTAGAAAATGACAGACCTTATGTACACCGAGGTAAACTCTAGTATATTCGGGATAGACTCAGTTTCTGTATCTACTGAACACATTCAAGCAGGCTGAAGTGGCTTCTTTTTCCCCAAAATGTACATCGTACACAGCTAAGTAAAGCCACTTTTGGCAAAAGTCAGAAGTAGGACCAGGACAAGGACCTCATGGCCATTAGAAATCTCACGGTGGCTGGGCACAGTGGCTCACGCCTGTAATCCCAGCACTTTGGGAGGCCGAGGTGGGTGGATCACTTGAGGTCAAGAGTTCGAGACCAGCCTGGCCAACATGGCAAACCCCCGTCTCCACTAAAAATACAAAAATTAGCCGGGCGTGGTGGTGCATGCCTGTAAACCCAGCTACTCAGGAGGTTGAAGCATGAGAATCACTTGAACCCAGGAGGGTGAGGTTGCAGTGAGCCAAGATCGAGCCACTGCACTCCAGCCTGGGCAGCAGAGTGAAACTGTGTCTCAAAAAAAAAAAAAAAAAAAAACCCACCAAAAAAATCTCAGGGCCACTCCAAAGACAACCAAATAATATGGCTGAATTCAGTAGTGTTTTAAATAATTTTAAGTGATAATGTCAGTAACTTTAGGATAGCCTGTGCTAAGGGACTATGATTTTTATCACAAATGTGGTAATTAATCTATACTCAAAATAGAAACAAAAGCATGTCCATCTTCAAATGAGGCCAAAGGCCAGAACTGCTCACTCTTGCTTCTTCAAATTGTAAACTCTGTGCTTGCTAAAGTGTCCTGTATTTTTCATTAATAAGGCTACTTAGCAAGCATTTGGTAAATACTTGTTGATTAAATTACCTGAGATAAACCACACCTGATACTGTCAATCTTTTCCTTGACAGGCAGCTCAAATGTTTCTGTGATGACTAATCCAATGTGTGCCTTCACTCAAGGAATTCAATTCATTGAGGAAACCAGCCCAGGTGCAACATCTAGATTCACAATGAACTTTCTGATTTTGTATTCATTTATTCCAGCTCTTGTCATCCTAGGAATAGTTGTTTTCAAAATAAGGGATCATCTCATTAGCAGATAGTGAAAACCATGGCTGGGAAAATGGAAGTGAAGCTGCTGACTGTGCATGACTGCTCTGAATGTCTGAAATGAGAGTGTCATGTATTTCTTTCTTGATAGGACATCTCAGGTCTTTTAACCATTAAGACTCTATTTGTGCCTCTTGGATCCATGCAGGCCTTGAATGCAATGGAAGTGGTTCACAGTCCCTTCCTGTTACAACTTGCAGGGACATGTGGTATTTGGAAATTGTGACTGAGCTGGCCCAAGAATTAAATAATAATCATTCATAAAGCTATGGGAGACTCGTGTGACTATTTTTTAACTTGTTCTAGGCACAGAAAAAAATAGGTCATCTTAAAAATATGTTTACATTTGATAAAGGATTAGGCAAAAGTAAAAGGCTTGATGGATTACTGACTGTAAGTGACAGAAAAGAAGAGTTGTGGGTTTAGATGAAGCAAGGTTATCATGCAGAATTGGGTAAGAATGCTTCTGTTCCTGGAAGACCCAGAGTTAAAAGACCCCTCCACACGAGGGGTCGGAGTTACCTGATCACATCGAGAGAATGCTGGGCAGATGAATGGCGAGCAACACTGCTACAGAGCACCCAGTAATTTTACTGAGGATTCAAATAAAAAACTGTAGGAATGGGCTCAACAGTGAACAAAGCACACCAGACAAACCTCTGGTTATGTTTTTAAAGATTTGTTTGCTACTTTTCACTTTCAGCTGAGTTTACTTATAGAATTACAAGTAAACGTTACTGAAGTGTATACACTGAGAAATAACCTTGTTAAGTTTGGAGATCAGCTGTTAAAGTCCATATAGAAAAAATGCTGACATAGCTAGACATGGTGTCTCACCTCTGTAATCCCAGCTGCTCAGGAGGCTGATGTGGGAGGATCGCTTGAACCCAGGAGGTAGGGGCTGCAGTGAGCTATGATGGAACCACTGCACTCCAGCCTGGGCAACAGAGAGAGGGAGACTCTGTCTCTAAAAAAGAAAGAAAAAAAGTGCTCACATATTATTTACAAAGAACAGGGTACACCCTAGAAATTTCACATTCTTGAACTGTAAAGGGTGCTGATATGTATAAATACAGACACCTGTATTACATATTTTCAAGGATAAAATAATATAAATAGGTTACTAAAAATGGGTTCTGGCCAGGCGCGGTGGCTCATGCCTGTAATCCCAGCACTTTGGGAGGCCGAGGTAAGTGGATCTTGAGGTCAAGAGATCGAGACCATCCTTGCCAGCGTGACGAAACCCTGTCTCTACTAAAAATACAAAAATTGGCTGGGCGTGGTGGCAGGAGCTACTTGGGAGGCTGTGGCAGGAGCTACTTGGGAGGCTGAGGCAGGAGAATCGCTTGAACCTGGGAGGTGGAGGTTGCAGTGAGCTGAGATTGTGCCACTGCTCTCCAGCCTGGCAACAGAGTAAGACTCTGTCTCAAAAAAAAAAAAAAAAAAAAATTGGGTTCTGTATTAAAATGACTGATCTGATTCTGTTTCTGATTGATCTTCAAGTAATTCCATGTAAGAACCCGAAATGAAACTGTCTCAGTGTTACTATGGTAACTTTGGGTGAGAATATGGTAGAGAGCGCATGAACTTGTTCACTGACTGTGACCTAACTTGTGAAGAAAGATAAATTATAGCATTTGAAATGTCTCACACTGAAGTAGGAAAGATCATTTCATTAAGGAAACCACAGTAAAATTCTATTTCTCAGAACAGTATTTAAGGATGTGGAGGCATTGGTAAATTATCAGACTAGTATTGTCAATTTTTATAAAAGGTCTTTGACATGGATGATTATGGTGTAATAGTTACACAATGTCTTACAGATTATATATGTCACATCAGTTATAGACAATTCTGGAGATGATAATCTATTACAGTAGTTCAAAGAGAGTCCCACAGGAACCTCTTTTGAAATCACTGATTTCAACTTACTAAAGATATGGGTGTACAACATAAGTGGAAACATTTTCTACTATTCATATGCAGATGAATTTCATTCTAGCTCAGAAACATTTGGAAAACTGACATCACACGTGACTTCAAGCTATTAAATGTTAGTGATAGCACCTTAGAAAAACACAATGGCTTTCAACATGTGACAGTTTGTGTCTCAAGTCAAAAATGGACAGTGATGTGTAAGAAAATCAAAGTATATAACAGCAATTCCTATTACTCTTGTGGAACAGGCTGTTTCTTCCCACCAAGTCAGTGATGTTTCTGAGATCATAATGTTCACTGTAAATTTAAAGGGATCTCTTTTTCCATAGCACTCAGCAAGAAACCTGTGCTTAAGACTGAGGTTCCTTGGAAACATGCTGAAAACTCTGTTCTCAAGGGTGTGAGAACCGTACATACTGCAAATAATTTATGAAGTCCTGGTTCGTTGCAATAAGCAGATGGCTTGCTATCTGCTCAGACACCACTCCCTTGGGGTAGTAAATGTGTTTATCTGAAGCTGGGAGTCAACATATTTGACGTGTGGATATGGAAGAACACAGAATAAATCATTTTTAATCACAGCAATTATACTTACTCAGAATGAACTTGGCTAGCAGGTACACAGATCTACAGATGGGAACGGCTTCTTAAAGGCTATCCCACCTTGGAAATAATCCTGGTTATCCCCAACACGTGATGTTTTGTCCTGCTTCTTGATAGGATATCTCGTTAAATGTGCCTGTTCTTCAAAAAGTGGTATTTAAAATAAATGTGTCAGTCTCACAGAGGGGTGAAATGGGTGCTGATTAAAAACACCCCATTCCAGACCACGGATGGTGACTCTCTAGGTGTGGGGACCCAGGAATGTGCATCTCCTATTTCAGGTGCTTCTTGCGCCTCACTGTTCAGAGTAAAGTTTTGACATCTGTGAACCCAATTCTGGTTTCCTCCCAGCTACAGCTGAGAACGCCTCTTAGAAAGAATGTGTCTAACATGGGCACTTAACCTTGCATTTAAAACTGTAACCAAATACTCTTACTTTTATATTCCTAAAAACATATAAGCAGAAACTTATACATGCTGAATTGAGTATATACCACTTAAACATGTTAGAGGTAGGGAGTAGAAGATTCTTTTATTTAAAAAAAAATTACACATGGTTCTACAATATTTTTTCCTTTTAAAAAGCTTCAAAATATACAGGGAGAGCACTAGTCCAAGAAATCCAGCTTGTTCTTTCACAAATTATACAGTTTAACTTTCTTCACATATTGCCACAATAGTTAATTCATAATATAATCTTATTTGTATTTAGAAAAGAAGAAATAAATATACAACAATTGAATTAGGTTCAAGAATCAAGCTCGATTTGTTTCCAAGACTTGGAAGAACTTCTTTTGTACTGTTCCAGTTCCTAAAACAAAAATATGTATTACTTTAAGAAAAATCAACTTAAGAATTCAAGGAGGCACGTTAAAACTGCTTTCTCATTTTTTAGATATAACAATGTATCCTTAGTAGCATTATCATTGTAAAGATTTCTTGACAATTGTTTTGTAAATGATTATGCTTAGGACTTATTTTCTAGAAATACAGTCTTCAGAGTTTCTGTGCTGCTAAGCGGCACTCAGAGATGAATTTATTAAACTTTCAGACAAAATTATGTATATAAACTACATAACACATATGAATCGTCTTTCAACTAATGAACTAGACATTTGTCATCCTTCAAGTATTCAAAAGTGCTCTTATTTTTAATTGTTTGCTGTTCAGTTCTTATCAAAAACTTGGTTGAAATTAGAAAAATATTTTAAAAACATATACCCAGGCTGGGTGCGGTGGCTCATGCCTATAATCCCAGCACTTTGGGAGGCTGGGGCAGGAGAATTGCTTGAGCCCAGGAATTTCAGACCAGCCTGGGCAACATAGGGAGACCGTGTCTCTACAAAAACTGAGAAAACTAATTATCCAGGCATGGTGGTGTGTGCGGTGGTCCCAGCTACTTGGAAGTCTGAGGTGGGAGGATTGCTTGAACCTGGGAGGTCAAGGCTGCAGTAAACTGTGATTGCGCCACTGCGCTCCAGCCTGGGTGACAGAGTGAGACTTGCGTGTTCAAATGGGGCTATCTAGGGATACGCGGGATGGTAGTGTCCACTTTTAAGCATTTTCCTGAGAGATCCTGGGTTCTGTCAGGTATGTCTGTGTGCTTTCACCCCTTAACTGGGTGAGATACATTTTCTGGTACAAGGAAAGTACAGGTATGTCTGAATGTCCTAATCAAAAACAAAACTCTTTATGTAATTCCACAAAAAAATGTGTGTGTGTGTGTATGTTTGTGTGTGTGTGTATCCTTTGTCCCAGTGATTTTACTTTTAGAAATCTATCATACATAACAATAGAGCAATGCACAAGGATGCTCACTGCTCTATCTGAGCACAACTGGAAACAACTTTGATGTCCCCCAGTAAGGACTGATGAAATAATTAGCATTCATTCACAGGTGGCTTCCAAGGCAGCCAGCAAAAACAAAAGTGGCCACATGAAAAAATAGTATGTGCCACATGAAAAAAGCACACAGCTAGGGAGAGGGCAGGATACTTCCATTTTCTATTTTATATACATCTATCTATATCTTTTGAATTTTTTCACAATGAGTATATGTTACCTTTACAATTCATAAATAAATTTTAGTGGAGGTGGCTATCCTGCACAAGGCAACTGACATGTAAAAGGGGTCATCTAAGGGGATGCCTCTTGGCCTCCTACATGTTGTTCAATGTCTAAATAACTGTACAAAGGTTATCACCACTTCAAATAAACAAAATGTGGTTACTCTGCAAGATAAGGCAATCACTGCCCTTTGGCTAACATAACTGAAGTTCACAGTTGCTATGAAAAGAAAATCCATTCTAATTTTCAGAAAAATTGCAGATCATCCCTTTCATACCTATACTCTAAGTTACTAAAATTTGAACGTTAAATGTTTCAAAATGGTATACAGACTTTGGAAGAATTTTTCCTTGTTTTTTTTTAACTTCCTCACTGGATTCTCAGAAGAATTTTCACGGCAATAATCATATGTACTCTTTACAGCTTGTTTTATTTTTTCCTAATAAAGTTAATTCAGTTCACCAGTTATCTACCACTGTGGTTTTAAAGATTAACTCATAAAGAATAAACAAATTGTTTACTGCACACTTTGTCTTTAACTGGAAGTGAAATTATTTTTACCAAGGACAAAGGTGAAAACGTTGTTTTGAGATTCTTGGCTAGTAGTATCTCCCTTTTGCAGACAGCAGACTGTGAGAAAACTAGGGCTATCGCACAGGCCACGCCAGAGGGAGGAAAAGGAATAACCAACGTGAGACAGAACCCACCAAGTCCACTAGATCTTCAATATGACAATGATATGGCCTCAAAATAATACATTGATGTTTTAAAGGGATAGCAAGTAAGAAAAATTTTCAAAAGATATCTGTGGTTGGCCAAGAAGACCTTAAAAATAAATGTTAACTGTAACTTTTTTTTTTTTTTTTTTTTGCCTTAACAAAAATACAGAAAAGAAGCTGGGTACAGTGGCTCACGCCTGTGATCCCAGCACTTTGGGAGGCCAACTCAGGAGGACTGCTTTAGGAGAGGAGTTCAAGACCAGCCTGGGCAACAAAAAAGGAAAAAATTACCCGGACATGGTGATGTGTGCCCGTAGTCCCAGCTACTTGAGAGGCTGAGACGGGAGGATCGCTTGAGCCCTGGAGTTCAAGGCTGCAGTGAGCCATGATCTCACGA